TGTGGGATAATATCCGGATGTAAGTATACCGTTGTAAATGCAGGTAAGATATTCTATTGCTGAAGGCGGTAGGTTTTTAATGATGCTGTTCGTTATTTCATCTTCTCCTGGAGAATTGTTTTTAAGTTTCGCGAATGTGTTTGCTATGTCGTCAGAAGTAAATCGCACAAAATATTGTGTTGGGTGTAGCATGCTATTTGAAGTACTTGTGTGGTATGTAAATTTAAGGTATTTGAAGCGATTGTTTAGTGAACTATAAGTGAAGTTCCCTTTTAGAGGTGTTTTTATCAGATCTAAACACTTTATGGCGATTGATGGTAAAGGTTTCTTTTGATTTGCTAAGTGTTTCTTGAACCGCAAGAATATGAAATGAATCTGTGTGTAAAGTGTGTATTATGTTCTTTTTCGCTTCCAGCTGCATGCATTAACCGTGCTAATTTTAATGTTCATTTATATGAAACGGGGATGGGCCATAGTGGATGTGGCTTTGTTTGTTTTTAATGACGGGAGCGAGGAGGTAGGCGGGTTATAGATATGGGTACTTTGTTCCCTTTTTCGACATAGGAAGCTTTCCTGCGGAAAAATTGCGCGGCTTGGAGTTGGGAGTCAGTGATTCAAAGCATAGGAACGTAAATCTGATAGCATCCTCCACCCTGAATCGTTCGGGTTCGGGAGTATCAGATCGGTTGGATCTTTCTCGGACATTACATCAGCGAGGGGTCTACGCATTTGACCGGAGCGGTTTTAGTCGGTGTTAGGGATTTAGGGGAGGGACGACTTGGGCATTTTGAGGCAAAGGCAAGGTGCTTGCCTTTGCAGTTGGCGCAGCTGGGAGTGGAGGTTGTGCAGTATGAGGATGGCTACTTGTCGCCGCAACGGTAGCAGAGGGGTTCCCGTTGGACGCCGGAAGTTGTGTTGTGGCCAAATGTGAAGCATTTGCCACACTGTAAAGGGTGAGGGCCAGGGGATTGAGACGGNGCATCTAAACGAAAAGGTAGTTCTTCCCGTCTAAGTCTTCTTCTTTTCATTTCAACAGATTGAGACACTTTGCTGTATGGTGGGAGAAATAATAACCCCTACTCATTTTTTTTGTAGTCATATTTGTGTAAAAAAAACTTAGATCCTAAACAGCCGTCCTTTTAAAAGGAGACATTTTTATTCGAAACAGAAAGGCAAGTTATAGAGTTATAAGACAGCTCCTGTGACAAATTATAATAAAACAATACATTAATCGATTAATCCTTGGTATGATATCGTTTAAAGCAGGTAACGTTGAAGTGCTGCTTTGCATTTATCACATTTGGTCGACAATTTTTTATGGAATAACCTGCATCTTGTTTGCTTCTTCTCTTGGGTTATAATGGGATGATCCACATAGTCATAGCGAAAATCAGAAGTTTCTAGTTGAGAAAGTCTTGAACGAGCCGCAAACCTTCGTTAATTACCTTCCTAAATTGACATAACTAATTGTTCGTGTTCGAAATTTCCAATTGTCTAACTTGCCTCCTTGACATCTATGTAATTGTCATGAGTTTTGTACAGTTAAATGCAGCATATGAAATATAAGAGGTATATACCATTTTTTTTCCCCTGTAGAGACTAACGTTTTGGTTTGAAAAGTCAACAACCCTCCATATTACGATTATAAATGAAAATGTTGTGAGGTTAACCTACAGTGATTTTTTTGCTTTGCCGAATATCAGCTAACAGCGTGGATAGAATGAACTGGTATTAAACTAGATACCAATGACATTATATTGTCAAGCCATTTCACTTTAACAATTCCTTTTTCGTTTGATTTGTAATAAGTAAAAACTCCTCTTATTCTTTTTTATTTCATTGTTGCTGATAAGAGGGCATTTTCATGTACAATTCTCTCGTATTGTACTTGTGATACGTACTCCCCTATTGGCCATTTCTTCCAACAAAGGAATGGTTGTAAGGAAGTTGTCACAAAAGATATGATACGAATATATCGGAACCGATAGAAGAACATCTAGATAGTGTAAAATGATAGATAGCCCTAAGCCAAATTCTTTGTTTTTTGGGTTTATATATTATTTGCTCCCTCGTAGGGTTCAAACCGTGTTCCATAACCAGAGTTAGTAGTCTCAGTCCGGAATATATATCCGTATTTTATCGGCTGCTCGGACTGAATTGGTTGCAGCCATGATGCCCGAAGTATACTACCAGCTTCATCAACACTGATTTTCGGATAAAGGAGCAAATTTCTGAAAACTGTTGTTCATTTTATTGAATAATTGCCTTAATTTTGCAAATTTATCTGACTGATCTAAAATATTATTGTCACAGAAATGCAAGTTACTGAATACTTATATATTAAAAACGATCTCGAGAGAGGGAATTTACTAATTCATAGTAAGTGTCACGGGTATGTTAGTAAAAGAATTGCAAAAAATCATCATCTCATTTTTAGTAACATTTTTATTCTATTTCAATTAGTAGCATACATATTTGAGAATACAACAAACATCCTCAAAATGCCGTCACTCCAATAATACGAGAATAATTCACAAGACGAGTTTTGATTTGAAGCAGTACACAAGGGGTCACCAATTAGGAAATTTAATAAGAAAAAGGATCTTCGTGATTTTTATTGGCAGTTTCATTCTTTTTTCTTGTATTTAAATGGTTTTTTTCTTTAAGTCGATTGAATATTTTTCTTTATGTTCTTGAACGTAATTATTGAGAATGATTTCGTTAGTTATTTCTAGTGGATGGTTAAGATGAAAGTGTCCGTTAATTATTTGGAAAGGGGTATATTGCAATTCGGCATAAGTTGCGTTAATATAAGCTATTATGACGTATTGAATAAAAATATTATTGCTCTTATTGAGATGTTCTAATTTTAGAGCTTGCATGGACTCTTTTAGTGCGGAATGGAATCGTTCAACATACGCATTTCCTCGAGAATTTCTTATACTAGTTATTCGTAGTTTAATAGTATGCAGTCTGCAAAATTCTATGAATGTTTCGCTATTTAAATTTGTACCATGATCAGAGGTGATCGTCAGTGATGTACCGTGATGTGAAATAAAGATAAGGAGGCTTTTTAATGTTTCTTCCACGTTCATGTGTTCTATGCTTAACCGTATCGCGAGAAAGTATTAAGAATGTCCTTTACTGGATTGAAATCGGTTTTTAGAGGTACTAGGAAGATTTAATAAATTGTCTCTGTCTTTATTAGAATCATCCGGTTGTGCGATATGGATTCGTTTTCCGCTGCGTTGATTTCAATGCGTGAATGAGTATCTGCGTTACAATTAGCTTTACATTTTCTATAAACTATTTCATAATCATACTCAAGTAATTTTAATCTCCATCTAATTAATCGCGAGTTCGGTTCTTTCAATGAAAGTAGCCATTGTAATGGTTTATGATCTGTAACAATTTTGAATTGTTTCACTGCCAAAACTATTGCCAAAAGTTCTTTGTCGATCGTTAAATAAATTCCCTCATCGGGGTTTAAAGTACCTGAGGCATATGCCATAGGTAAATTGCCACCAATCAAACCTACACTTAAAACGGCTCCTAATGCATAGTTTGAAGCATTAGTTGTTACTATAGGTAAATGGTTTAGTGAAGTTTGGATATTTTAATATTGAGTCATTGCAAAGTAGAGTTTTACATTGTTCGAAGGTGTTAACGTAATGTGAGGTTAATTCTATCTTTTCTCTCTTGTTTAAGCATTGTGTTAGGGTTTTGGTTACCTTAGCAAAGTTTTTAATGAATCATTGATGGTTTTACAACATCAAATCCTGGGTCACTATCAGGATCATCACCTGCTGTACTGTCTTTATCGGAGTCAATATCGGATTGTATAGAAGTTGTCTCCTTGTCTACATTTGCTAATTCTTCACGTAATTCGTCTATTATAACAGCATCTAAACGAAAAGGTAGTTCTTCCCGTCTAAGTCTTCTTCTTTTCATTTCAACAGATTGAGACACTTTGCTGTATGGTGGGAGAAATAATAACCCCTATTCATTTTTTTTGTAGTCATATTTGTGTAAAAAAAAATTTAGATCCTAAACAGCCGTCCTTTTAAAAGGACAGTAGGCATTTGAATAAGCATTTTTATTCCAAACAGAAAGGCAAGTTNATTCATTGTTTTTGTTGGTGAGAGGTTACAATGATTTCGGCTGAGATGTTGCCGCCGTGGCTTTGTTATATATTTTAAGTACAGAGTGTTTTTATTACTGTAATAGGGAGGGGAGGGAATGTACGCTCAACGGCATGATTTATCTATACAATGTATTTTATTATTAGTTATTTAGACGTTGCGGTGTTGGGCTGGAGAAGGATCTCATCGTTTTCAAACGATCCTGTGGAAGGAAGAATAGGAGAATATTCCTCCCCGGATGGCGGAGCAGACGAAGCTGGATATGATAGATTTTTCCAAACCTAGGACTTCCAGAAGGATGTTATTCGTGGAGCACCAGGTGCTGCGGGCTCCCATGATGAGGGCGAGTACATGCAAAGGGCGATCAGGGAGAGAAGCCTTGACAGTATCCAGAAAATTGCAGTTTGAATACGTCGCAATTTTGTTGGAGGGTGCGACGTCAAGCAGCTCCGGTCGCTCCCATGCAACCCCAACGTCGGCAACGATGTCGATGGAGTCCTTCACGTAGAGGAGTTCCGGGTTCCTTAGGCGGCGGTCGGGGTTCCGGAACCTGGGTTCGGTTCTAGTTTCCCAGCCCTCTTTTTGAGCAACATCCGACAGGATTCCTACCAGGTTGTCGTGTTCGTAATTCGTTCGTAGTGTATCAACAGACACTTTTGAAGAATGTGGCTGGTGGTTTCCACAGCACGACAGCCGGCTCTACAGCGGAGTTGTTCGAAGAGGAGGCGTTGGTTGTGGAGGCCTCCTACAGTTGGTAAAACCCCAGCTCGAAGATGGATGACCTTGACCAGTGGTTCCCAAACTTATTTTGTCTACTGCCCACTTTGAGAATAAATATTTTTTTAGCGCTCCCATTTTTTCACCTATTTAAAAACCACTATAACTTCAAATTAAATTAATTAATTATTGTGACCTATATATGTATATTATGTATATTAACGGAGAATTCTAAACGAAACTTTTACTATAACCCGCAACTTGAAACCTGAGCGCAGTAGGTAACATACAACGGCGCTTAGGTCTCAAGTTAACTCTTACGGGCTCCACCTGCCAATAAGAATGATTATTGAAACGCAACTTTATAGTATTAAAACAGAGTATCTTTTATTAAAAATATAACTAAAATAATCAATCCTTATATAAAAACTAATGTGAAGGATGAATCTGATGCTGTTTAATAAGTTTGTTGATATCAGGTTCCAATTTACTCAAGAACAGTCGCAAGTCGCCACGTTCGGTAACAAGCAAACGATTTCTCTTTTTAGTAAGCAGTGTTGTCACAGCACTAAATCCACGTTCACACAAATATGACGATGGGAATGCTATCAAGAATCGTTGAACGATTGACCACAATCCAGGGTACAATTGAGGGATCGGTTTTTGAAGCCAAAATTCTTGGTAACCATTTTTGAACTTGATTTTTATTTCCTCGTTTGTTGTCAATTCTATAAGTTCTTCTTCCAGCTGAGGTGACATTGCTGTGTTGACATTTGAAAACGGATCCAACACCCAGTCTGGTATTTCCAAGTTCAAAATGTCCTGGTATCGTTCGGTGAAGTCAATGTGGAGGTTTTCCAAATGTTGGCAGTAGGCAAACAATTCGTCGTTACTGCATGATACTGATAAATTTGGAAAATTGTGAAACTCACGTCTGCCCAGATTCTTTTTGTGTAGAAGCAGTTTGGCTGCGAAAGCAGCAACGACGTTTTTTGTTTTAATTAAATTTAGTTTATCGCCTTGCAGTTGGAGATTCATGTCGTTGAACAATTTATACAGGTCTGTCATGTAAGCTATATCATTCTTTGATGTTATGAGCTTGTCGTGCAATTCTGTATCTTTAGTTTCCAAGAACTCTATAACAGAGTCAAACAGGTTGTAAAATCGAGTCAGACAATTGCCTCTTGATAGCCAACGAACTTCAGTATGAAACAACAAACGGTTGAAATCCTCGTCATTAGTAACACAAAGCTGATGAAATAATCTATCATTCAAAGAGCTGTTGCGGATTTTATTGACTGCTTTGATGACATATTGCAGTGATTGAAATAGTTTTTCACTTAAGTTTCTAGCAACTAAATGTTGTCTATGAATAACGCAACGTACACCAAGGACATCTGGAATTTTATTTTTTAAGTACGCTATGAAGCGTGTGTGGACGAATATCTTCGATCAATCGGTTGTACAATGGATGCGGCACAACAAAAATACAATATCAGCTTTCCTGCGTGGCCAAATTTACATGGCCATTTTAATCAAATAAGCGCAGCCACTCACTGGCGTTATGAAAGCATGCCAGCTCCAAAGATCCTGTCAGAACGTATTAAACAGGATATGTTAAAAACCGTTAACCCAGCAGCTCCAGCTGAATGGGAAATAGATGATCTGAGACCTGACAACGAAGCATGTGGCTTACCCACCGTCAATCTTCTAGGATGGGCACGTGCCACAACTTTAACAACTGAGCAGCTAGCATCACTACAAGGTGCAGGCATTACTCCTGATGACTTTCCAGTAGATATAATGCAATTCCAGCTGAACCACTCATTATTTGGACTTATCGCAGATAAAGTACGTATGCTTGATAGACACATCAAGTTAGGTGCATCATTACACGAATCAGAAAATGGATCCATTTCACAAACATTGTGGGTCACACGAGATGTAAATGAGCACCAAGAATTCAATCGAATCAAGCATTACGCTGAAGCAGAACTTAGTGCTAGGTCCAACTTCCAGCATGACAAACGTTTTACCATTGGCGCATTAATTGCGTCATTTAGAGTCAGAAAAGACCAGTTACTTAACAACAACGGTCAAGTAACACACCCATGGTCGTGTTATGACTTCGGTAATTATGTCAATGTTCCACAAGGGTGGATAAACACCCGAAATACTATTTTTGAGTTCGGAGACACTGGAGAATGGAATCTTGAAGGTTTCCGTTCAGCATTTACTGGTAAGGACCCTTTGTGAACATCATGGCAGAGAAAGGGTTTAGTCAGAAAGATGAGTGATTAACACACATAGACCAGACAGAGCGTGACCATGTCCTCAGACAATAACACCCTGTCATAGCCGGAGCGCCATCCGTAGCAACTGAAATAATATTTTTCAAGGGAATCTCTTTCTCATCGCAAAACTTTTCCAATGTATTGAATATGGTTTCACCTTTTGTATCGGTCTCTAAATTTCTAGCAAATAATAGTTCTTCACATATTTTCTCATCTTTAATAAACCTCACCTAAGACAACAACAATGCTAGAGTCGAGAGCTCTTGCAGTTGTTGTTTAAGAGGCCTCTTAGCTAAATAAAATTACAAATCACCCCCCGCCCGCCCGCCTCTACACAACGTGCCCATTTTCTTCTGGGTCTCTTACTGCCCCCCTTGAGACCTGCAGCGCCCACAAGGGGGCGTTATCGCCCACTTTGGGAAAGACTGACCTTGACGTAGGTGGAGCCGTTCCAGAAAGATGGAGGGGAACGGATCCAGTTGGAAACCTGTGGCGGTGAGGAATGTGCGATCAGTCTGGAGCATGGGGCGGAAGCTTCAAGGCAGTTACGCCAGAAACCCCGTTGTTCCCTCTGTGATCCATACGGTTGACAGAAACTAGCAAGGCGTTCGGCTAGTTTGAGTATGTGCGGCGAATCCAGGATGGGAAGGAGTTGTGGACCGTCGCACTGTGTGAGGTTGTGTAGCCATTTGAGGAGTATGTCTGGCATGCGGGCTGCGAAACAGGGAAGTCCAAGCCCGCCAGCCTTGATCTCGGCGTACTGGAAGGCGTTGCACGATGACGAGGGCAGATGGAGGATTGTCTTCACTGTACGGCGAATGCCCTTGTCTACCACATCGAGCGCTCGACGGGATACAGAGGGGAACTGAAACTGATAGAAGAATTTCGGAAGGAGATATGTTGTTGTCAGTTCCAGTTTTTGCCACGGTTTCAACGGTGCATTCTTGATTCGCTGCAGGGCGGTAGAGATGTCGGTGGGGATGGGCGTTTGGGTTCGGGTAGGGTAGAAACGATACCCAACATACCTGAATAGTTCTTCGGGGCCAATTTGGGGAATAGGATCACCGCCAATGTACACACTGCTCTTGGTGGAGTGTACAGTTTCTTTCTTACCGGTAGTAGATTGTCGCTGAGGTGCGTGCACTTATTGCTGTTTAATTGCATGCCTCTTGCTTGATTGAAGTGGTCGACCACCCTGACAAGATGTTGTTGATCGTCAAGGGAAGTCGACATGAGGACCAGGTGATCCTCATACCCCAGGATGCTGTATTTGTTTTCCCGGAAATGAATGCCGGGCTATTGTGGTTTTGAGTCTGTACAAGAGCTCGTCCTACGGCGTTGAAGAAAAGGGGAGAGATGGGATCCCCTTGTTTGACGCCACGTTCGATGTTTATTGGCGGGGAGGTGTGTTGGCCGCAGCTCGTCAGTGAGGAGATGATATATCTACTGAGGCTCCAGTAAGCAACATAAAGTAGAATAGAAGAGCCAGACGTCGAGTGGGTATATGGTCGACGTCGCGCAGGCGCATACCATCAGGTCCAGCAGTATCAGACATCTTAGTAGTTGATTCCAAATGTCCTCTTCGGTGGCGGGAGCNATGTGGCTGGTGGTTTCCACAGCACGACAGCCGGCTCTACAGCGGAGTTGTTCGAAGAGGAGGCGTTGGTTGTGGAGGCCTCCTACAGTTGGTAAAACCCCAGCTCGAAGATGGATGACCTTGACGTAGGTGGAACCGTTCCAGAAAGATGGAGGGGAACGGATCCAGTTGGTGACCTGTGGCGGTGAGGAATGTGCGATCAGTCCAGAGCATGGGGCGGAAGCTTCAAGGCGGTTACGCCAGAAACCCCGTTGTTCCCTCTGTGATCCATACGGTTGACAGAACCTAGCAAGGCGTTCGGCTAGTTTGAGTATGTGCGGCGAATCCAGGATGGGAAGGAGTTGTGGACCGTCGCACTGTGTGAGGTTGTGTAGCCATTTGAGGAGTATGTCTGGCATGCGGGCTGCGAAACAGGGAAGTCTAAGCCCGCCAGCCTTAATCTCGGCGTACTGGAAGGCGTTGCACGATGACGAGGGCAGATGGAGGATTGTCTTCACTGTACGGCGAATGCCCTTGTCTACCACATCGAGCGCTCGACAGGATACAGAGGGGAACTGAAACTGATAAAAGAATTTCGGAAGGAGATAAGTTGTTGTCAGTTCCAGTTTTTGCCACGGTTTCAACGGTGCATTCTTGATTCGCTGCAGGGCGGTAGAGATGTCGGTGGGGATGGACGTTTGGGTTCGGGTAGGGTAGAAACGATACCCAACATACCTGAATAGTTCTTCGGGGCCAATTTGGGGAATAGGATCACCGCCAATGTACACACTGCTCTTGGTGGAGTGTACAGTTTCTTTCTTACCGGTAGTAGATTGTCGCTGAGGTGCGTGCACTTATTGCTGTTTAATTGCATGCCTCTTGCTTGAGTGAAGTGGTCGACCACCCTGACAAGATGTTGTTGATCGTCAAGGGAAGTCGACATGAGGACCAGGTGATCCTCATAGCCCAGGATGCTGTATTTGTTTTCCCGGAAATGAATGCCGGGCTATTGTGGTTTTGAGTCTGTACAAGAGCTCGTCCTACGGCGTTGAAGAAAAGGGGAGAGATGGGATCCCCTTGTTTGACGCCACGTTCGATGTTTATTGGCGGGGGGGGGTGTTGGCCGCAGCTCGTCAGTGAGGAGATGATATATCTACTGAGGCTCCAGTAAGCAACATAAAGTAGAATAGAAGAGCCAGACGTCGAGTGGGTATATGGTCGACGTCGCGCAGGCGCATACCATCAGGTCCAGCAGTATCAGACATCTTAGTAGTTGATTCCAAATGTCCTCTTCGGTGGCGGGAGCATAGAAAAGATTGTGTGAAGGAGGTTTGACATCACACAGTGTAGGAAGGCCTTTGCTGATGTCGGACATGGCAAAGATCCGGGAGTAAGCCCCATAAAGGTGCTTTGGATGGAACGTGGTCGGCGGCTGCTCTAGATTAAGACTGTCGATGATCTTTTGGGCAAGCATGACTCTATTGGTTTTGTAGAGCTGCTGGGCTAGTCGGTAGCGGGTGATTCTTACTCGTCGCTTCGAGTGTTGATGAGCGGAAACCTTGGGGGGTTGGGGAGTCGTCGCAAGTCCGGTTGTTGTCCTCCCTTTCTCACGCATATGGAGAAGAAATTCCTCCAGGGCGGTTTCCGCATTGGCGTTTGAATGGAGGAGGGGTTGTAATAGTGTGATGTCCCCTGCGGTGGTGGCGTCGTCGGACAGCAGCAGCCATAGATATTCTGCTACTGGGTCATCTACGGTTTGGGTGGAAATGTCGTCCGGTGGAGAGTTGGGGAAGGGAGGCGATGAGCTTAGCTGCGGTGAGCTATTATCCGGGGTCGTAGCCGGGGCTCGAAGGTCTTCAGGGGCACTCAGGATGAAAGTGTCGGACTCCGGGGTAGCGGGTGTTATTGAAATGGAGGGTATGAGGGCAGCAAGCTCGGAAGGGTCCTTCCCGGGTTCTGCTTCTAGGAAGTCGGTGCGGATTCGGTCTATCTCTGTTCTGTAACGCTGAGAGCGCCTAGGGTTTTGATGGCTATTAAGTCATGGTTGAATTTCTCAGAGAGATGCCTTTGTAGTTGTGAAACTGGTCCTCAAAAGCGTAGTTCTTCCAGGACGATGTGATATACTTCCAGGGTTGAGAATCGGCGCTCCTTTCAGCGATCGGATTCATCAACCTTGGCGTCATACTCGGTGCAATGGGCGTGGCGAAAGTGTTGAGTAAGGCCGGTCTTGGTCTTAAATTCCCAATCGCACCATTTACATCGTAGCTCAACGGGAGGATGGCAGTAATAGCGTTGGTGTTGTTTTAATCTCTCTAAGGATGCGTAACTCTTGCCACATAAGTCGCAAGTTACAGGTGGAGAATGTGAAGGGATGTCTTTAACAGAGCTGCAGTTACTCCCAGAAGTAGTGTCAATGGCAGGCCTGCAACTGGGCACCGGCAGGTAATCGGCAGGGGAGGAATTCCGTAGGATGTGACGTGGAAGACTCCTTTTTAGGGCGAAGGAACGTCCACAAAGAAGACAAGTGGAGGTGTTTTAGTTAAATAAAAAATATATAGATATATATATGAAATGGAAATGAAATTATTTATATACAAAGCATTATCCAAAAAGATAAAACAAACAAAAAGACATACTCACATTCATACCTTAACAATAATATACACAATCAACATTCATTCGTAGCTACAGGTGCTAAAAGTAGCTACAAGAGCTAAAAGAGAGCCGAATGGTTCTGAATATCGATTCTTTATTGTTTTCGGGGAAGAGGGGAAATCTTCAAAAGAGACCCTGCCGTCCGTTTGGCTATCGGAAATGTTTGTTTGTGAGACTGCTCGGTAATTGATTAGTGGTCTTACGAAAGTTTTGTGTGTTGAGCAGTGTTTCTATGCTACATGATTGTATG